AATTCAAAGAGGAAGGAACTTCCAAGCCCCAAAAAATAAATTCTCTGTTCATCTTTAGAGCCTCCAATCTTCACTTAGTCTGAGGACCCAAGTTACACTTAGCCCTATTTATTCTTTGGAGTACTCATCTTGTATCAAGCGAGGTGTCCTTAAAGAATCTTGCAGAACAGAAAACAAATTCAAAGGAGAAAGAACTTCCAAGCCTCAAAAAATAAATATCTCTGTTCATCTTTTTCCTCGGAGCCTGGAAACTTCGCTTCGTCTGAAGACCTAACGAGGGTGCGATACGCCACCGCTTCCAACACCCCGAGCAGAAAGAAAAGCAAACAGAACAAGGCATCCGACTCCCGCTGGAGAAACGGCGGGCTTGTCCAGCGGCGATCGCAAACACCGAGGGAGAGCAAACTCGCGGTGGTAAATTGGACGTTGATTGGGCAAAGGTGCTTGGACTCACTCGTCCAACTTGTAGAGAGTGTGCGAGACCCTTTGGACCACCGAGATACCAAGCTCCTTACAGAGTGTCGAGATGTTATGGTCCCGGACGCGGCCGAACGGCTCCGGATCCTCCTCAAACGTCAAGTTCGTCGTGCCCCATTCTTTGAACAGTTTGGGGAGGGCCTCTGCCGGCTGGCCCCTTATCACGAACAGTCGCGAGTTCAGTTTCCTCAGGGAACAGTCGAGGTCCTCTAGACACTGCAGCAGGAACCTGTCGAATAGGCGAGAACCTCTCTGATACGATCTGATGTTCGTGCTCGGTGATCTTCGAGGTTAGCGAGGAAGATCATTGTGACGTGACGATGAACGATGGTGGCGATGATGATGGCTATAACTATACGTGATAACGAGGATGACGGCAGCGACTATACAGGGTGTCACGGAATTAGCGGAACCGGAAATGAGGGGTAGTTGAGACGATTCTGAACAAAAATTTCATTTGTGAAGATGTCGAAGGAAATTGTTGTTCAAAATCCTCCCAGCTACCCACATTTCCGGTTTTTAGACTCTGAGACACCCCGATGATGATTTCGTAGATGGGTGACACGGGTAGTCAACTTGTAGGAGAACGAATTCCCTCCAAATTTATTTTTCTTCTTTAATAATTCAAAAACGAAGGATCGTACGACAATTTTGCAAAGGAAATTGTCGTTCAGAATCGTCCCAGCTTCTCACATTTCCGGTTTTGAGATGAGTAGTCAACGCGTAAGAGAACGAATTCCTCCAGATTTATTTTCGTTAACGTCTGACCTTTACAATTAATTCTTGGAGAGGCTGTCGTCAGTGGTGGGAGGAGGTGGTGCACTCACCTCCACTTATTGATGCCCACGTTGGTGCTCCCAGCGAACCACGGGTCCAAGACAAACACGCACCGAAAGGTGGTGGCTCCAGCCAGGCTTTCCCTAAAGGACGGATTGTCGTGCAGCCTGAGACCCTTCCGGAACCAGTGGACAGTGTGCTTGCCTCCATCGCCTCGTGCAGCCGCTTCCGGATTCAGTTCCCTGTTACGGCTGCCCGTCATCTTCCCTTTCTCGGCTACCATTCGCTTTCTTTTCCAATCTCTTCTTATCACCCAGATCCGTCTTCTCCTCTGTCACTATTGCGATGACGAATAACGCTCAATTATCGGAGCGCATTTTTGAGCAATTAACGAACCTCCCCGTTCACTTCTCGACCTCTAGTTTCCCTTCGACCCGATGTACGCGTTTCTCTGGACGATTCGATGTACGAGAGTTTTTCCGGACGGATTCCGCGACCTTGCACGAACGGTGTCCTCAGCCTCCGAGTACCGTCATCCTGACGAATCGATTCCGCCGAGCCGAGAGCCGGTTTTTAGGTCATCAAGGTCGGGACCAAGCTCGATCGATCTACTATTCCCTCGATTCAATCCTTTTCGCTGTTTAGGGTGCGGGGAAAAAGAAGTCGCGCTCTCTGGAGGATCGTCTTCGTCTGTCGTCGATTCATATCGCGCGCGACTACATCCTCCTCGCGGCGATACCCGGATGAATGGTTCACGGGGAAATGGCGAACGTTTCTGTGGACGAAATACAATCTTCTGGAATCTAGATATGAAGGCAATTCGATGATTAACCCTTTATACAGTCGGTGTAACAAGTATTCGTACAGGAATTCAAAGTGACGCTTCATATATTTTATTGATAAATTTTAGGGGAAGAAATAATTAATGAACAGCTATCCGAGTGGTTAATAATTAACCTATATATCTTTAGAGTAGAATTTGCGTAAATTAGAGTTTATTATTTTTAATGGTAACCTCTCGTTTCTTTTTTTTTGTGATATACTTTTCCTTACAGGAACCTCTCTTTGCCGTATTATCTAATTTTTCCCATTAAACTTTGTCTTTAAACCACTTGTTCTATACTTTTGTGTTAGTCCATGCCTTGAAAAAACTAGGTGGACCGGGCCCGGGATTCGAACCCGGGCTTTCTCAGCGTGGTAGTCGACTCCGCTACTCGCTGTTCCACCGTTCGCGTCTACTTCTTTTCTTGTTAATTTTATTTTAAATCGGCAGCTGTACGAATACTTCTTTCACCGACTGTAGGTCATCGGTAATCGTTGTTACCACTAAGTAAGGGTGGGAATTTTGTATTTTTAAATCGCTAGGCTGATACACAAAAAAAGTGAGAAAAATGGAGTTTGAGTAACCCTCTCCTTTTCAAAGTCGTTAAAAAATGGTTTCAAGGGTCGAAATAATTCTGATTAGAACCCAGAACCCTCGTTTTTGGACCAAGATAAAAAATGGCGCCGTGATTAGGCTTCCGTGGACTTTATTTCTGCAAAAATTCTCATGAGAGAGTTTCATCTAGGGTTCCCGAGCTGTGTGTCCCCACCGAAAAATGTCATCGAGCCTAAAGGGTTGGTTAACCTTTTATCGAGCACAAAAAAAAAGTGAGAAAAATGGAGTTCTGCTCGATAAAAGGTTAACCAACCCTTTAGGCTCGATGACATTTTTCAGTGGGGACACACAGCTCGGGAACCCTAGATAAAACTCTCTCATGAGAATTTTTGCAGAAATAAAGTCCACGAAAGTCTAATAACGGCGCCATTTTTTATCTCGATGCAAAAACGAGGGTTCTGGGTTCCAACCAGAATTATTTCGACCCTTGAAACCATTTTTTAACGACTTCGAAAAGGAGGAGGTTACTCAATACATGTATTTTTTTTTTTTTTTTTTGTACTAAAATAGAATATTGCACTGTGATTAGGATAAGTTCACTCCCTGCTGAACTTTATTTCTACGAGAATTCAAATTTCGCAACTTCTCTCGAGAGTCCATCTCGGGTGCAAAGGGTTAGATTAATTCGTCAGAAAGTTTCTGACTGCTCTCGATACGCGGGAAAGGATGAATAGGCGCGGTATCGATCATCGGGGCCATCGTATTTATACGAATTCGAGGAACAACAACCACAGGGAGTCGCGCAACGCTGTACAAGTTTCCTCCGTTTCTTGGTTATGCTCGTCCTCGCGGGCTCGAGATGTCGTTAAAACCGCGGAAATAAAAGACGCGTCGACGGTCAAACGCGGAGCAAACAATAAAGTTCCGGACAGGATTTTTATTTTCGTCCAACTTCGTTAGCTACAGATTAATTCCGGGTCGAATTACGCAACTGCCGTTCACTCTCTATCACGGCCGAATATAGACGTGTATTATGCAATTGTAATGCCGGCGTTTCTCGAAACGAGAAGTTTCATTTACGTGTCAGGTTCTTTGGCGCGCGTCGTCTTTTGATTAAAAAAAAATCGTCCAAGACTACACGAAGCATACCATATACAGGGTGTCCCAGCCTTAGTAATACAGCGCTCTAACTCCAAAACTATCGGCCGAATGAAAAATGTCAAATATGGAAATTGCATGGTAAAGTGGGGCTCATGTTTCAGGGAAAAGGAATTTTTGTTAACTTTGTTATTTACCGAGATATGATGGTCAAGTTTCGTTTTTCAAATGGAACGGAAAAATGATTGAGTAGCGCCGAGAATTTTCTAGGTAGGTAATACTTTTCCTGTTTTCCTTCCTTGGGCCTGGAATCCCAAGCGAGACCCTCCGTATGGATTTCAAGAACCCCATGATGCTTACCGCATCAATGGGACCGCCCGGGGCCGAACCGAGGTTTTTCCTTGAAAATTAGCAAACTTTGAAGCGTCCTATCTTCAAAACTAATAAAAATCGGGTAAATACATTAAAGCTTAATGAATTCGTCTTGAAAAGCACTATCGCATGATATAAGAAAAAAATATATAGTTTCATTTGACAAACGAAACTTGATCAGCATATCTCGTTAAATAACAAACTTAACAAAAATTCCTTTTCCCTGAAACATGAGCCTCACTTTGATGGTTTTGGAGTTAGAGCGCTGTATCACTAAGGTGGTTGGGACACCCTGTATATTATACAAAATATCGCATACATTATAAACACGCGCATATTTTCGTCGTAGCGTTTGCATTTAACCGAAACGATCTCGTAAATAAGAATAATTTCGTAATGCTCGACTGTGCTCCTCGAATGGAACTATTATTACTCCTCGTAATATACGTAGTATGTACAAGGTAATGCCATTACTATTTTTTAATTACTAGAATTGTTCTTCGCGAGGAAAAAAAAACGCGTTTAAATTTCCCGCGCGCGCTAAATCGCGGAGCGCCAGTTAGCCGCGTCGGCAATTAGACACGTCGCGATTTCACGACGATCCTGGAAAATGTAAATAATAGGGGTAACGGGACGTTTCCCCTGCGAAAATCGGAATCTCTCTGCGTCCCCTCTTACTCTCTTTTTCGTTTCCCCTAAGTTTTGATCCCAAGTGCGTCAACAGGGTCGCGCAGTTCGCGTCGCGAGTTCGCCGGTTGTTTACTTAACCTAGTATGCACGCTCCACCGGTCTCGAGCCTCGAGGATAATTCTCAGCGATGACCGGGCGATCGGGTTTCCCAATTAACCGAGGAGTACGCGTTCCGAGCGATGGAAACGAGGAGAAAGAATTGGTGAGTACGCGAAAATCATGCGGTCTACTCGGGTCTACTCTGAGAGACGTCTAACATTCGCAACGGAAATGGGACGATTCGAAGTCTGTTCGAATGTCTCTGTTCGAATGTAATCGACAGAGTAGTTTTAGAGACGAATCTCTTGAAAGAGTATGTTTGAAAGTGCGAAGATAAGTAAAAACGAAGTCGAGTTTAACGACAGTCATTTTTATGTAGCTCGTGTACACGACAAAACAAACAAACAGAGTTTCAAACAAACTCAATACATTGTCAAACACCGTCACGCGGTTGTCGATGTCTCAATTAGTATCTCCATTCGCGTCGATAATCGCGAAAACGAATATAAACGACGCATAAACGCGTGCACGTCACGCTGACCCGGTAACATAATCGCTTTTCTTTTGATTGTCCGTGACGTAACTATTACGTCTCGATAATACCGAGTCAGTAGCTCTTAATCACTGTTCCCGTCGATAAAACAGAATACCTCGGGGCTAATCTAGCAATTCGGAGTAATTTTGAATCCAGTGGCGTAACCAGTGATCGTGAAACCCAAATATCAGTATGTACGACTGAGCTCTTTAAATATTATGTAAATATGACGCGTTTAGAATTTTTATTAAAAAACATATTGGTGCCCACGTGGTGCATCCCCTCTGTTACGCCACTGAATGCATCCAACGTGCTTTTCATTTCGCTTCGATTATTCGATAACCTTGGCAATGACATTACTGATTGCGTAGATTACGGAGATAAGTTGCACAAGTCAATTACTAATAGCCACTTAATTTAGTCCTCTTTAATCCTATGAACAATAATGTGTACTCAGAGAATCAGTCTAAAATCTGAACCAGAAGCCCGAAATACTCGAAGGTTGTTCGCGAATATTAATCCTATTATCGACGGGTGCTATTCGCGATTACCAACAGAGCAGAACGGCGTGTCGATCGAGATCCGACTTCGCGCGTGTTTACCAGCAGGGGCGAATCTGTCGTGCGATTAAGGAGGTTTTAGCTTCGGGCCCCCGCAAAGTATAGTCGCACAGCTTTTAAAATTGGTAGTCACGTCGTGGTTGATTCTCCACCACTATCCGCCGAATACTTACAATCGTAAGCTATCGCGAGCATTCTCTTTGAACGCGGATTACTGTCGCGGTTTGTTTGCGATGCACCCGACAGGTTTATCGAGTCGAAACGACTACGGATCACACAGGCAGGCACGCAAAACACGCGCACACGTCTCGATTATCCGCCAACGGGTTTCACATCGGTTGGTATTCGTCGCACAATGATCGCGGTAGAGGTGGCATCGTCCCGTCGCTGCACTCGTATCAATCGAACGATAAAGTGGAAAAACACCGTTTGATTTCGCGACGATGAAAACACGCCACGCAGAGGGAACGGTGGCTCGCATATGCGAACGTGCAACATAAAAGCAAAGCATGGAGAAGGTGAGGCAGCGTGTAAGAGCAAGGGGAGCCCCGTGCCACGCCGAGTGCAACGTGACTACGATCACCGCGAACCTTCCAATTGGCCAACTTGATCACGTGATACGTCGGTCACGTTGCAACCGCCGTGGTCCTGTCCTGTCATATCGTACCTCTCGCTTGCACAATGCAAGTTGCACTCCATCCTTCCTCCCTAGAGCCCACGATCTCTCCCTCGCTCAATATACGTGTCTCTGTTTTTTCGCGTTTACTCACACGTTCCTTCAAAGCGTACGTGTAAGAATAATTTACTATTTGCATCGCGAACGCAGCAGACTGTCAAATCGTCGAAATACTTTTGCTTTTTGTTTGGGATCGGTATCTGTACCTCTCGAGGTTTCCGCTTTCTTGCAAAGTCTCTCAAAGTCTTTTCGTCAATACTTTCGTAAGGCATTCGAATCCAAGTGGAAGTATTACGTATGGAACGGATAAAGATTCAATTGAATAGGTGTCGTTACAATTTTTTCTGAATTCGAGATAGGGAATAATGTATTTAATTTTTGTACGCGAAATTCGATGCCCTTTACTACGTCATAACTGAAACAGGGCCAAATTAGGTAGCTTATACTTTCTATCTGTTTATAAAGAGGAATTAAAGAATATTTCATCTCGATTGCACAAGGATGGTAATCTCGTCAAACATACAGATTTTGAATGTGCATAGCTACCTGCAGTACCGATATACAGCGCTCTGTGGCGCCATCTAACGTGAACAATGGGAACTGTTTCGATAAGGAACTTGGACGTATTGCTGTCGATGGCGCTGACCATAGATTTGAGGTTAATCTTCCATTATCGACATATTATATAATTCAGTGCATTTCCTAATTTGCAATTTCCCAATAGCTTCATTTTTATGCAATCTCCAGGTTCCAGTATTGCTATTGTCATCCATAACAAAAACGAAGCGTTAGACGCGGCGATAAAGCTTCTTACACTAGGTTGATTCGCGAAGCGTTTACCAACGCATTATGAAACACACGATCCATCGGGAATGTGGAAGTAACGAGTGGTAACCTGGTAACGAGTTGAACGCGGTTACGGGGAAAGTGCATCGCCTTACTATTTTGCCATTTTACGCGACTAGTACGATGGGTATGCGAACGGTGTCGCAATTATTCACGGTAACTCTCTCTCTCGAGCGGAGGTTCCGAACAGTGAACGCTGCAGAACTTTTAAAATGTTTAACGTCGAAGTTTTATAAGTCCTGATAGCATGGCCGATAAGTTCATATCTCTTACCGCGCGAACTATGGCTTTCGCTTGAGATTGCTGTAAGGTTCTCTTTTTTTGGGGCGATTCGCGTTTCGCCAACGACCTTATTTTTCCCGTCGCACAGTGTGATGAGTATATGAGAAATAAGGAAAAAAATCAAATTAGTATTCAAAAATATTCTACTTGATAAAAAAGGTAAAAAAAAATAAATAAGTATGTTAAAACAATGAAGAAAAAGTTTATTACATAATATTTAACAAAAATCTTTGTTAAACAATTATTAATTAATTAATTAATTTTAAAAAGATAATAGAGAAATTTAATATTAAATAATATCTACACGTAATTTTAAATAATATCTACACATAAAATAGTTTAGGCCGAATCGTCGGAATCGACATCGTGACTCGGTGATTCAATCATTCGGTTCTAAAATGGGGGCAGATTGGGGCAGGAATTTCTGTCACTATGTTAAAGTAGGCTACCTAATACGTTTTTTAAGCCAAGCCGGGAAAAGATCGTTTCAGCCTTTTCGAAAAAATTAATTTTTAAGTAAAACAAAGGAAACTTCAAAACTAAAATGTTAACTAGTGCAAATCGCTCATTTTACATGTATTATTAAAACTTTATAAAACTGCTATAAAGTAGTTTTAAGTATTAGTATTATAGGGCTAACTTACCACGAAAATTCAAATTCATTATAAAAAAAAATACTAATTTTGTTTAAAGAAGTACGTATCCTGTTGAAAGATAACTTCAGACTAAAATTAATTTCACTTACAAACCAAGTCTAAATAATCAAATCAAAGAAAAACAAATTTTTATTTTTTAACTTTCGTTCACAGTTCGACGGACTGTGCGTCGTTTTATTTTCTCGTTAGATGACAATCTCACAGGATTAAATACATTCTTAATCTTCAAAGAAAAATATGAAAAGATGTCGATAAAGCGATTATCAATTCGATCCAACGAGCGTCGAGAATAAATTGCTGTACGTTATTCGAATAAAATTTCGCGAGGAAAAAAGTCCGCGGATTACAGCTCGTGAAATCAGGTTATATAAGTCTCCTAAGGATATTTACCTCTGCGGTACCCTTGACCGAATTGTCGCGCGCATACATACGCATTACCAATTTTTCAACGGCGCTGCGTGGATCGCGATGATGTAATGCGATGCAGATGACTGTCGTGCGCTGACGCATCGATCATTGAAACGTACACCGCGATCGAACCATTTTTCTCCGTTTGTTCTAAACCCGTTTGACTAAACATGTTTCGAATCCACGTTGGAGGGTCAGTCCAATTGGATAGTTTTTTGTGAATTTATTTTTTAGGAATCATGAAACTTATGTAAGGATATTTATTTCGAGGTTCGGCGTAAAACTGTCAAAATTCGAAGACAACAGACAACATATCATAGACAAAATCAAATCGCAATACAAAATACAAAATGAATGAATAATCAATAAATTACTAACACAAATATAACTGACAACTATTAAACGTATAAACATGTCTAGTGGTTTTAAATATTAACATTCATTCAACATTCACATTACAACATATTACACTTATAGGACGTCTGTTGAAATGCGTTTATTAGACAGATTTCGAAGTACATAAAAATATTTGTCTTCTTGCTTTTCCTTTTCTGCTTCCTTCAAAATGGCGGCGTCAGGAGTAACAAAGTATCATATCGACACTAAAAGATGCATAAAAATGGTAGCTTATTGCAACTGAATCTACTAATTGTTTATCGAAGGAGTGGTGAAAGTTATGAATAGATGGAGAAAATATACCAGAAAGTAGATTTACAGTATTGTCTCGCTATCCCCACCTTTTTATTTCGTCGCCCGCCGAGTGAGAGATCCGACAAGAAGCGACAAGAAAACGAGACGCCATAAATCTATCATGGCCGACTGAACAGCTTAGTGGAAAGAGCACAGAACATATGTAACGTTTTCTCTTTCTCTGTAGCGTGCATTCTTCGAATACTACTGTCAGTTGTATCTACATATACGTTCCATTCGTTCGATTTTACTAGCGCTAAAATGAGAAAGCATGTTATCTTCTATCATTCTCCAAAGAATAACACCCGTGCCCCCTGTTTTGTCTACGGGTTCGCCCTCGTCACACTCGAGAACAAAGTCAAGCCGAACGTATATCTGTTTCGAAATAAGCAACTCGTTCGGGAGCAGCCAGTAAATTATAGTAGATTATTTCGAGACAATACCGTATTTGTATCCACAAAATTCCATAGGATCATTTTTTTTAGATAGAAGTGTCGTAAGATTCAACTTGTAACGGATACTTTGGTATTGATATCTTCCTCTATAAGCGTTCGAAGAAAGAAAAGCAGTTCTACTTACTTCCGAGGAGCATCGAGCCTCGATCGAGTCGTGTTGAAACTTTTGCGAGCGTCTTACAGAGATGAGCAAAACTTTAATCGAATCATAGATAACGAATAAAACTGACGCAGCCGTTTCAAATATTCTGTAATTCGAATTGCAAAGTTTTTTCATCGTTAGAACTATTTATCCGGCCGGGAGTATCTCTGTCCATCTCTGTCAAAAATAAGTAGGAATAATACAGTCGATAATTATTAGACTGCGGATCTTTATGCAAAATAAAATCTTCGCGAACGTGCTTACAAAAATTGTAGGCCTAATTAGACCTAAGTAGTAATTTAGTTAAATCTGCAAATATCATAACGTGAACTTTACTTTCAATCTTTTTTATATTCTTACATATCGTTTGCATTTTGTAGTTTCTTTCGCATTCAAATATCCTGTAAATGCATAAAGATCCGCAGTCTAATAATTATGGAAAATAAAGTGGAGAGACGGTGTCGTAGAATAATTACAGGTTGTTTATTAGTTTTTCACATATAAAACGTACCAGGGAGAACCGTCGTTTTTGCTCCCGATACATTCCTCGTATCGCAAACTGTGCAACGTATATAAAAATGACCTCTTTTCTTTAAAATTCCATGTAGCCTGTCTTGTGTGTGTACGTGTGTGCGAGCGCGCGAGAGCGCGAACGTGCGTTTATTACTATTTTCTACATTTCGTTCTTCCGTCCTTCGAGCTTAGACCTATTACTTATATCTTCGTCATTCCCTCAATAATACAATACATATTAAATCGACCCTATCTTTTAGTCAATCTATAAGTAAATATTTTCTCTATACATTCGTACGTCTTATAGGTAAATTCATTATTATTATTATTATTATTATTTATTTTTTATTCTTCCACTTTTAATTCCATACACCTGTCGCAGTGTATCCTCTCGCCGGTGCGTGTTTTATCAGTACGGTTAGCATTGACGAGTCGTATTTCGGACCGATCTCGATATCGACTATTTAATTATCCTCGCAGAAGTATCTCAATTATGCGTTCCTTTTAAACGTACGCACGCGCACGGTCATGTGTGCACATATACGTACACATATACATAGACATTCGTATATAGAATGTTTTCAAACACTTTCACAAAAAAACTTTCAACATTTCGCGCTCCGAGGCTTCGTCATCGAGATATCAGCGGTTGAAATTTACAGGCGTGACTTCCGGTTGAGTTTAACGCGCCGGAAGTCACACCTGTAAATTTCAACCGTGTATATCTCGATAACGAAGCCTCGGATCGCAAAATGATAAAAGACATTTCGAATCGTGCACGTTTGCAGACTCGATCTTCGAAGGTTCTACGTATTTAGAACTAACTCGGGAATTTATTGCTGTAAAAATTCTTCGAAAGTATTCATTTTCACGAAAAACTGGAGTCGACTTCATCTTTCTTTTCAATAAAGAAAAATGATGTTAAGCCCTATGACTCGAAGTACAACCTACTACAACCTTCGAATGAAATTTTCTGCTATTTTCAATTATAAATATTTAAGTCTCCCTCTCAATCACCCTGTATACGTAAATATACGTACACCCATGTACCCGTGCGCGTGTAAACTAGTATGCGATATCTAATTGTAAACATTCTATTCGTACAAAAAAAAAAAAAAAAGAAAACGGGTGAAAGACTATCGCTCTATCGACGGAGTAAAAAGCAAATCCAACGAGCCGTGAAATTTGTCGCGCGATTAACCATTATCACCAGACGTACAACCGACTTTTACTCGGCATATAAACAGCTGCGGTTTGTGACTCTTCGTTCCCGGCCGGAAAAATAACGAAGATGGCGGTTGGCACCGTCAATGTCGCGACCTCGAATTATCGTCGAAGTTAACGAGCCGGCGCTCCGTCGACGTTTTATCAATTCGTCCGGGGACTATCGTATAATCTCTATTTAAATAACAATTAGTAGACTCTACACGTTCGACGCTCGAACAAAATATAGTTTATGGCTGTGATGGCGCGTCGTCGCGCTCGTCCCGCCAACGAAAAGCACGACGATGACCGCGACTCGAGATTTCGGTTAAGATTAATCTATATTAGTCTATCTAACGTCGATTAGTTAAAGTACGGTTAAAAAATAAAGGGAAACCGAGAACGGGGCGGGGTGAAAGAAATACTTCGAAACAACGTTTACAAATTCTAGCGCGGCGATTCTCAAACTTGACTCGAAGTAAAATTTAATTATCGTCATTTTACTATATATATATATTAAAAAAATTATTTTAAAAAAGGAGCGTACAGTTGCGCTTAAAAAATGTACGTATAACCAAAGGATCGTTTACTGAAGAAATGCATACAAATAGATTAGTGAACTCCTTTTGATTTTATTCACTCCTTTGGACACTATTTATAAATAGTTCAATTGTCTTTGTTCGTAGAATAGAATTACAACTTATTGCATTGTAAAAATTGATTCAATAAAAGAAAAACGAAAACAGAATAACAGACGATGTATGAATCGTATGAATGATACGATCATCCAGTTTGAGAAACGCTGTTCTAAGTCCCATTACGGTTTGGTTAGTCCACGTTTGGCAGAGTACACGACTGATCGGCTGAGTAACGACGCGGAGTCGCAATTTAGTTTCGTTACGGCAAGCACGCATATTTCAGAAACTACTACGGCACTATCACAAAATACAACGGGAGCACAGAGAATAAAACGGAGCAAGAACAATATAAAAACGTTAATACCACGATCTCACAAATAACACCAGAGATGGGCGATACTTCGAATACTTCATTCGAATAAATTTGTACTCGTCAAACATGATTTTCTTGCACGATTCAGACCACGTGATTATTATCCAGCAAATAAAATATACAAAAATTGTTGATCGTATATTCGTTATACGAAATTTGTATCTAGACAAACGTTTCGCCCATCTCCGTCGTAAACCGTTCGATGAGCCCTCCGAGAGTGTATAAAAACGTCTTTTGTCGCTTAACGGTTAAATACGGAAAAGAAGACCGACAGCGTCATAGGTCCGTAACGCGAGGTTAGCCTGTAAAAAAATATACCGGTCTGTGCGACGTTCGATTCGATAAATCGAGAACGCCACGAGACTCTACGATTAAATGGAAAACAGATTTTCTTTTACACCATCTTCTAACGACGCTTCTGAATTCCCGCGTATCTCGCGATCGTTCTGTTTCTAAATGTTAAATTCATTTTTCGTAGCACGTCGATCAAGGCCGCTATAAACAACGCCACGGTAAACGTTTCTACGAGGCGAAAGAAGTATTACTTGTTCAAATAAAAACAATGCAGTGCGATCATAGGAATGCTGTATTTTATTTGCCAACGAAACGAAAAAATTATAAGCAGACGCAAGGTTTGTTGGTCGTTAAATGAAAAAATAAATTAGCGTAAACGAACGTCCGTTTCAACTTGCAATTACTAACTCGATGAATGGAAATATAAACGCAAGTTTCTTATAAATAGACTTATTAATTACATTGCTCGTGTTCTTCTATGATAATTATTTTAATCGCTAACGTTTGGATGAAGAATGTTCGGTTCTTTCTCCTGGGAGAAAGGGTCCATATATCTATTCGTCTGATTAGTAACTGGAAATGGAACTAGATCGTCGTTTACACTGATCCACTTTCTTTTATATATATCTTACACTTCTTGTTTTTACCATTTTTCGTTTCATCGATGAGTAAAACATACCGTCCGACCAAACTGCATTATTTCCATCCAAAGAATTTGGCAAGCGCAAACATTTTGTAACGTTACTCCTGTTTAGGTCATAAATTGCTCGTCGTTACATTTCAGCATCCTGTTCGTCTATCGTAGGAAGTAATATTATTCCCGGAACGACGTTAGCAAAAGATCTTAAACCATACTCGTTTGTTTCGTTAGGATACGCGCTAATAAAATACTGTTGTATTTTTCGTTCGCGTATATTCTTTTTTTTTTGTTGTTGTCTTTCTTTCTTTGAACGTAGTAACTTTTAAAGCTATAATTTTAATCTCACGAGTCGACCCGACCCTTCTCCTGGTCGACTCTAGGTTTCCATCGATTGCCGTTTTTTTTCCTTTTCTTTTATTTTCTCGTCTAAAAAAGCTAAGAGAATAAAAATGTCCGCGGGAAAGCTCGGTTTCCTGGAACAATCGCTTCCAAAGATAGCATCGAATGGTAAATCACACCGAGAAATATTGCAAAATGTGTCTTACATACCGTTTGTTAAATATGTAAACTTTTTTTCTTTTTTTTTTCTTTTTGTTAATTTGCTTCGTTTTCTATAACGCATCGATTGCCTCTTCGACTGTTTTTTCACTTTTCACGTTACGGCCGCATTAATATATCCAGGTACGCATTTGATGCCACGCAAAATAATTCGATTAAGATACGTAAAGTATTGTACAAGGAGAAATTCAAACCTCTTCGTTTCTTTACAATTTATAGGAACATCCGTTTGGAGGGTTCGCAGTTCAGATGCAACGACCAATGGGTAGGTATTCTGATTTTATTTCACACGCTTCGGAGGTCTACCGCGCTTCTTAGCCTCGGTGGTGACAGTATGATTCAGAATCGACGGTTTGGCAGTATGCGGATCCATTGCTTTCTGTACATTCCTCCCAACGTTGATTTTGTACAAGTCCAACTCGACCGTTTCGCTCTCGATCGCCTTTTTCGAACGCCTGGTGCGACCAGCTATTCTTTCCATTTCGTCGAACTTCGCTTGCAATCTCTGCGCCAGCTCGAAATCCTCTTTCTCTTGTATAACCAGTCGCTCCATTCGTTCCTGTTCCTTGATGATCTCCTCGTCCGTGAGCGCGCCTTTCTGCAGATTCATTTCCAACTCGGTGGTGTTGTTGTTCTCCGTGACGCATTCCTGCGTTTCGCTGCAAGACTCGGACGAGTTGTAATTATTATCCTGTTCGCTGTTTACGGAAGAACTGTTTGCGCGTCTCGATTTACGCGTTGCCTTTCTGGCGATATTGCACGTCGAGCCCACGGAGGCGTCGCTTTTCTCGGAACTTTCCGTACTGGACTGTTTCGCTCGACACGCTCGTCGCTGCTTCGATTTCGATAAGGCGATTCTGGTAAACTTAGTTCTACTCCTCTTCTGCACCGTGACGTCGTCGGTCATCTTGTACTCGAGCTCCTCCTTCCTGCACAATCGCTTCCTCGTACTCCTCTTCGCAACGACCTCCGGCTCCAAATTTAAGGAAGACGTTCTACCTTTCTTTTTATCATTCACCTTCCGCCTCTTTATTCTCTCAGCGATGTTCTCCATCGTTACGTCCTCTTCCGGCATCTCAAACTCCTCGTCGCAGGGTGAACTCATCTTCACAGAGGCGGACGACGAAGTTGAATTTCTCGCCTCGGTGTCGTCCACGTATTTCGACGCACCTCTTGCGTCTTTTTTGATCCACAAGTTCCTCTGTCGTTTCGATTTGCACACCATTCCGTTCCTCACGTGCGGTTTCCACGATTTCTGTATCTTCTCGACGTCCATGTGCTCGTCTAACGTCAACTTTTTACTGACTTTAGTACCATTAATTATTCTATTCGTGCCCTTCGCGTAACTCTTATTAGGTTCGAACGACGGATCTGAAACGAAGTCGATCTTACGTATGCTGTCGTGCGTTTGGGATTTCGTTAGTTTGCTTGGGACGAGCTGAGACTGGTTATAGGACGTTGATGGTTTTTGTTCGATCCCTTTCGCGTCTTCCTTGTGCGCCTCTTTCTCCTTGGAACTCTGCTTTGTTTTACCTACAAACGAAACCGTGAAACCAAAAATGTTCCGTATATTAAGCCTTTGCACCGGAGAGGTGAGTCTGTCATCATTACGTTTCACGCAGCACATCTATCAACAATAATGTTTCTTTAGGTTTAATTTCTTTGGAACTCGAAGTGCCGATAAAATGATTGTCGGTGAGGTAAAGGTGACCTGATTCTCAAATCTCGATAGCTTAGAATTCGTGGCAATAGAATGCTAAGAAAGCATCTCGAGTGCAAAGTGTTAACAATATCTTTTAGATCACCCAGGGTCTCGAAATCAACTTACCTCGAAAAGCGCTCCACGAGCATCCGATAATTCGTTTCAAGCGTGCCTGCGACGGAGGTTTAGGTATAACATTGGATATCCTTTTAAGGACAGGAACGACTCTAATTAATTTCGGATCTATTTGTCTCCCATCTGTAACGCAATATTATATAATTTCCCGAACGAAGCGAGCGATTTAGAAGCAATGTTGTACTTAAAAAATATGATTTGAACCTGTGGATGTTTTCAACGGCGTTCTCGGCATAGCCTTGATAGGCTTGAAATGATGAATTTCCTGATTGATGCTGTCGTGGCTTCCAGCGCTCTCGGCGCTTCCCATTCTCTCGTCGTCGTCGCCCAAAGTCACGCAGACTTCTACTCCTAAACTTTTTTTTTTACTGTTCACGACATCGTTCGGTACGTTCAATTCCTCTTTGCTTTGAGTGCCGTATATCTTCGAGGAGGACGTTCCAGGCTCCGCGGGACAATTCGAGGTGCAAGGCTCTATCATTTTTGTTACCGCCTGGTGCTTCAGAGTTCTCGAAATAACATTGTATATAGGAATCGGTTTCTGACAACAGAATTTAGCCAAAGGATCGTTGCATTCGCTGGACGAGTCATTGTTCTTTATGCTGGAGGCATATCTCTCCGCGCGTATTTTAGATATCAACGCGATGTTCTGTCTTCTCAACCCCGAGCCATCCAGATGCTCCGAAATAGTCTCTTTTTCGCACTCCGAACTGTGATACTTCGCTCTGTGCGGACTCGCCTCGGCCATAGCGGCGACATTGAATTTAGACATTTGGAAAGAACTATTAGACGTACTAGGATAATCGTTATAATATTTAGAGATGTCTTTGTGCTTCTCCACGATTTGCTTCTTCGCCAAAGACTTGGCCAGCATTTGATCTTGAGCTAATTGAGCCAACTGTTGTTGCTGCTCGTCCTCTTGAATCTTACGAATCAAAGCCTCGCTGGCCATCTGTTCAGCCTTCCTTTGACATCGCATTTCCTCCTCAGCCATTTGAAGTTGCACTTCATATTCCCGGCGTATCTCACCAGCTGCACTAAGTATTTTGTTGGCTGCGTTGAGACCTGTATGAAACACGTGCAGAATGTACAGAGAGTCAAACTATAGGTTTCGTTTACGTATAAATATTGGTACATAAGGTGGTATACAAGGTGGATAAAAGGAAAAGGAGTAATTAGGAATACGAAAGAAAGAGGTATTTTTAAAAATGATCTCAAAATCGTAATACGACGAAGGTTACGTTTTTGCGAAGACGTAAGTTTGCATCAGTTGTCATTAATTCGTGGCCCATACACGTACGATTACACACGTACGTCCGTACGAGTGCGCGTATGTGTATATGCTTCTCGCAGAGGTTATGTTACGTTTGTTTATCCTGTCTCATAGGAAACTCACCAGCATCCAATTCGATATCTCCCTCGTCGCCGTTGTATTTATCCTCGACCTCCTTCGGGAACTTGGTTCGTATTAATTCCCAGAGACCGTTATTGATCAATGTTTCGGTTTTGGTCGCCGTACGTAGCCAAGAACCGACCCGTACTCTACAGAGAGGACAGGTCAGACTATTGTGCTCGAATGTACCTTTCAGGCATCTTAAACAGAGATTGTGCGTACACGGTAACGTTACTGGCTCGATCAGTATACTACAGCACACCGGACATATCAAATCTCGCAGACTAATATCCACCGATGGCTGTGACAAAGAAATATCAAACAGTTTTGACGTTCGCTTCAAATACGTCGCCATCTTGCCATCATTCTACGAGGAAACACAACAGCCACTGCCACCATCGCGAAAACCGTGGTTCTCTTACTGAATGGAACGTTCTCTCGTGGCCCAATCTGAATCGGATTCTGCCACGGACATAGGAATATTCCTATGTCCGTCCGTTCTGCATAAATACGTATATAAGTAGCGTGATATGTTTAAATAAATCGCAGCTTTCTCCCACGCGAGGCATGTGTATGCTTCTAATCGGCCCAAGTTCGTAAATAACGAATAAAAAGTAAAAATTACAGATTTATACATAAGAAGGAAAAGCAAGTTCGTATCGGTGGATATTTGGAGACCAAAATATGAAATTAAAACGCAGGTGTAATCGGTACAAACTTTTTTATTTGGAATAGTATACATTTCAATGTTTAGTTTAGGTCTTATTTGCTATACAAATATATAATACGAAACAAATCTGAGTACCACTATAGTTGCAACGCACAGCGAGAATACAAATTGATACAAATTATAGGCGCCACAGCATTGTGCATTTTCCAAAAATGTTAAAAATAATTCTAGTTCCTTTGATGTTTCAAAGTTATTTCGCTCGAGTGAATAGTCATCTAGTGGTGAATAAATGAACTAATTTCTGAGTTTGATCAGTGCCTCTATCGGGAAAACGCTCAAGTTTGCATTCGAATAGTTCCTACTTCAATAGTTCAACCAGAAAGCACTTTATTAATTAAATAAAATCAAATAACAATTCAAAAAGACGGTAAAAGAGAGTACAACTATATCTTTTATTCAGGATTATTACACAAACTTGTTACAAGTAATAATCAACAGGCCATCTTGCATGCGTGTTACAAATAAAATTCTAAAAAAGTTTCGCGAAAAGGGACGCGATTAAAATATAAAAATTACGCGATACCGATATTTATAAATTCGTATAACTTCGAATTTGCATAACTTCGCATAACATGCTTAACTTCGGTTAGCGCGATTACCCCATCCTCTTCTGTGCGTATCTTTGTATTCATCCATGGCGCGTAGCTGCTCCAATGTATCGGAATCGTCGTCTTCGATCAGTTTTTCCTTCTTAACTTCTTCCGAATCGTCATCGTTTGCTTCGCTATTTGCTACGTCTTGCAAGCAGGTTGAATTTATTTGATTTCGCTGCGACGGGTCGGGCCAACTATAAAACATACATGGAAAGTTTTAGAATTTAACATCGACGACTATAACATCCTGTACTTACTCTCCCTCTTTCACTCGTTGATCGTAAAATTCTTGAACGGTGAGAATAGGTAAACTGGGATACCCAGCTCCATATACTTTTTTCTGTGCTTCGTCTCGCGTGATTATGATGGGTTGTAATTTGGGAGCAGGTTTACGCTTTGGGGGAGCATGGGAAGCATGAGAGGTCATAGTCTCAGATTTTCCCACTTTCTTCATGTGCTCTAGAATTGGTTTTTCTGCTGCTAACGAACTCAGTTCCTCGACAGTCAGGTTTATGTATAATTTTATGAGGGTTATGAAATATTCTCTCTTCACCTCTTCATCTATGTTTGGATTCGACATATTCCTTTTGAGGGTCTCTAAACTCGATTCTAATTCCTTTTGCTCCTTGTAACGCTGCAGCTTAGTATTTCTTCTGCTTACCTGTGGAATATTCATGATTTTAAATTTGTTTAGGAAACATATCACACAATGATAAGCTAACCATTTCTGTAATTAATTCTGCATTCGATCTAGTCCTCCCAGATGTGCCTTCCTGTTCATACTCGGATTTAATTTCTGGTACGCCGATGTCGGTCAAACCATAATTTCTAACGCGCTTGAGAAAGTCCACGAAGTAAATTTCGGCGACGTTAACGATGTGCATTCTATCGCTTGTGTTGCAAATTTTTGTGGCAAGCGTACCAAGGAATGCTGGGAGTAAAAAGTACTTGATATTCTCTGTTGGTACTTCCTCAAAACTTTCGTTATGGCTAAACATGTCGACCATGGAAACTAATCTTGTAGCATCCTCTAACATAGTCATAGCTCGTCTAATGTCTGACTGTTGTAAAACAAAAATACAGGGAGATATATTGATACATCGAAGGAACGCGAAACGTGACGATTCTAGGAACCTTGTAGAAGTTAAACATTCAAGGTAGAACGAATACTTTCACTTCATACCTGCACTTTTGCGCTATTTGTAGGCTCCTCAGTTTTATTTATTTCGTTAAAAAGCTCGAAAGCTTTGTCGAATAATTCCGACAACGTCGACGAATCTTTCGCGTCGTTATCTAAGCTCAGCGAATTTTCTTCCGACATCTTTATCCCTGTAACAGATTACTTTACCGGTATTTAGGTGACGGAACTACGAACAAAACAAATCTTTTCAAAGGTTATGAACACCGCTAGACATTTGATACATCCGCTTGAAAGAATGCAAACGTCAACGTCAAACGCTACCCCCTTTCACATACAATGAACTTTTCCATATCGCGTACTTGTAACACTAGATGGCGTGTGGCTTAATACCTGTGGCGCCATCGGACAAAAAGGATGGGAACTATTGTCACTACAAACTTGAAAGACAAGGATAGAGTGAGTGCAGGGAAAGAGAGAGAAAGAAACATGTAAGACAAGGACAGAGCGCGTGTATGAAAGATAGAGAGAAAGGATCATGAAAGACAAGGATAGCGACACGCCACCGAATATTAATAGACATTATCAATAATTTTCTAACTTTCTAAGGAAAATTCATCCACTTTTGCAATTGTGTTGTCAAGTATAGATCACTAGCAACATTCAAGGACCATTTTCGATACGATTTCCATTGTTATTAATTAATAATCAATGATTTTTCGATGAGATAACCTACGCGAAATTGCTTAGGAGGAGTGACAGGTACCCTTCGTGCGAGTGCGAAAGAGAACGAAACATGTGCGACAAAGATAGCAACAGTGGTGGCGCCATCTACTAACAGAACGCTCAAGCTTGTCGAGAAATAGTTCCATCATTTCGCCGCTAGATGGCCCCAACCTTTTACCATACGTTTACATGTAAATTAATTCATTAATTTATTTTATTAAGCAATGAATGTTAACGAGAATGCTCATGAAGTATTACAAAATTGACCTGTAATAGGAATTTTCGGTTTTTATTACGTTTTTGGGATTTTGAATGGCTGGCGCCATCTAGCGGTGAAACGGTGGAATTATTTCACGACAAGCTTGAGCGTTCTGTTAGTAGATGGCGCCACCACAATCGCTATCCTTGTCACACATGTTCCGTTCTCTCTCTTTCGCTCACGCGCACTCTATCCTTGTCTTTCACGTTCCTGTCTCTCTCTTTCGCTCACGCTCGCTGTATCCTTGTCTTGTATATACCTTTCTCTCTCTTTCCCTGAGCTCAATCTATCCTTGTCTTTCATGTTTCTCTCTCTCTCTCTTTCCCTGAACTCACTCTATCCTTTTCTTACATATTCCTTTCCCCCTCTTGCACACGCAGTCGAGCTTCGGGTGTTTGGCCGCGAGATGGCGAGTCGGTCGCCGTTCACAAATGATAGCTATATGTCATACATGAATTCCAAACACATATTATCAATTTAAAAACAAAATCGATAGCTATCCTTATCCCACATGTTTCTCTCTCTCTCTCTCTCTCTCTCTCGTACTCATTATGTACCTATCTTGAACTTCTCGTGATTACCAACTTGCGGAACGCTCTCGGAAAACGTTCATAATTATTTAATAACAATCAATATCGTATGGAAAATCATTCTTGAATGTTGTCATTAATCTAAACCTTCTATCAAGAATGCTGAAGCCGTTAAATTGTTTGCAAAAAGTTAGAAAACAATTCATATATTGAAGTTTAGTCTTTAACTTAATCGTAAGTGAGAAATGGGAGAAGATATGTTAGTATGGAAAGCAATTAGACAAAAATATATAATGTAAAAGTATGTTTTATTGTTCAGACAGCTTACAATTAACAATAATTACCACGTAACGAGAATATATTAAAAGCAATAACTGTATTTGCTAAGGAAACAATTATTTGAAGCAGGCACAGCTTCGGTGAGTAGTTCTCTCAGCGAAAGTGGTCGCGTGAAGTTGTTGGACAACGCGAGATTCTCTCTGCCTATGGAGGTGTCAAGCTGGAGGACGTCAGAGGAATTAGGGCTCCTTTCCTATCGGTAACTCTACAAATTAAACAAATTCAAAATTTAGTTAATACTGTAATGTTCATTTTTAACATAGTTATTATCTGTATATCTCCTTCATATATATAACCTATATATATAACCAAGGTACCTTCATGTTAATGGTCAACAGGTCGGAGGTAACAACATGTTCAAGATGCTGTGGGACACGAATTTCACCTATGACTCGTTGATGCCGATCTACGAGAATCGATCCCCTAGCTGGCTGTACATCCTGGACTACAGGCTCTTCCACGACTGCATGATCCCTCCTTGTCCCACCAGGTCTTATCCAGGCTTGTGGGAGGTTCCTATGGTGATGTGACAAGATCTGAATGGTGGCAGATGCTCCATGGGCGACGCCTGCACCAATCCCCCGACAGCAGATGGTGTTTACAAGATGCTGATCACGAACTTCGAGAGACACTACACCACCAACAGGTATCAATCATAGACATAGGAGTATAGGGACTGGCATAACTGGACGACTGCTATACATCTGTATAGAGTCTGTAATCTATGGCTAAAAGCTTCCTTCACAACTGAAACGGAACCTCTAACATCTCCTAACAACTCCTAATACCTTCCAACACCACCTAACATTTCCTAGACTTCCTGACACTCCCTAACACCTTCTAACACCTCCTAACACTCTCTAACATCTCCCAAAATTCTCCAACAACTCCCATCACTCTCTAAGACCTCCTAACAACTTCCGATAGTTCCCTTCTCTTCTATTCATTTTCTAGGACATTTCTCTTTAATGTCCCTCCTTTCTCTGGTACCTCTCCTCTTTGTTAAAGTGATCCTCATACAAAAGGTAAGTTTCAAGGAATAAATAATAATTATAATACCAACTCGCACATTATGTTCTCCTGATACAAGAGGTAAGTATCGAGCAGAAAATAAATATCGATACTTACCTCTTGTATCAGGAGAACATAATGAGCGAGTAGGTATAATTTTTATTTTTTATTTTTATTTTTATTTTTATTTTTATTTAATTAAAAGTTATGCTACTTCTCTGAGTATCATGTTCTCCTGATACTAAAATGTAAAATTTTCACAGAATTTCGATACGTACCATGTTTAAGGTGTGATATTTGAGAGAGATAACAAGGGAGTGAATGAGATCAAAGCGAGAAAGTATGTTCAACAAAACAAAAATGTGATGTAATTAACTAGAGAAAGTATTAGTGAAATAGTTTTGTTATCTGTATAAACTGATCACTTTAATAAAAGACTGAACTGAACTGAACTACGTACCATGTATTTCTCATGCCACCTCCTCGCACATCATGTGCTCCTGATACCAAAATCCAAAATCGGCCAGAATTCCGCAATTTAGCAAAAATTGGCCCCTTAAAGTAGGCAACCTGTACTGACACGCATGTCGGACCGGTTGCCTGTCCGTAGGCGTAAATGTGCCACCTCCTCGCATATCATGTGCTCCTGATACAAAAATCCAAAATCGGCCAGAATTTCGATATTTTCGCAAAAATTAACCCCCTGAAGTAGGCAACCCGTATTGACACGTATGTCGGACCGGTTGCCTGTCCGTAGGCGCAAACGTGCCACCTCTTCGCACATCATGTGCTCCTGATACTAAAATCCCAAATCGGCCAGAATTCCGAAATTTAGCAAAAATTAGCGCCTGGAGGTAGGCAACCCGTACTGACAGTCTTGTCGGTCCGGTTGCCTGTCCGTAGGCGCAAACGTGCCACCTCTTCGCACATCATGTGCTCCTGATACCAAAATCCCAAATCGGCCAGAATTCCGAAATTTAGCAAAAATTAGCGCCTGGAGGTAAGCAACCCGTACTGACAGTCTTGTCGGTCCGGTTGCCTGTCCGTAGGCGCAAACGTGCCACCTCTTCGCGCATCATGTGCTCCTGATACCAAAATCCAAAATCGGCCAGAATTCCGAAATTGAGCAAACATTGGCCCCTTGAAGTAGGCAACCTGTACTGACACACATGTCGGGCCGGTTGCCTGTCCGTAGGCGCAAACGCGCCACCTCTTCGCACATCATGTGCTCCTGATACCAAAATTTAAAATTTCCTTAGAATTTCGATACGTACCTTGAATTTCTCGTGCCACCTTTTTGCATATTATGTTCTCCTGATACCAGGTGTAAAATTTGGCCAGAATTTCGATACGTACCTTGAATTTCTCATGCCACCTGTTCGCATATCATGGCCTCTTGATACAGTGAAGGAAAATTAATGGGAACTGTGCCATGAAGAGAAAGGAAAAGTGGGGCACTTACCTGCAGTGTATGTCTGTTACCATTATACACTGTCTAGGTCTAAGGAGGTTATTTAGTTTATATCTCTACATATGGTACTTAATTTACATGTGGCTACCCGTTATGTCTGGCCAGTCTTATCTAACCTTATGTTGTCTTTCTTATCTTAATATCTGTCTTAATCAATCTTCTACCTAAATTGTTTAGACTAGCTAGACATTATTTGTCTTGCCTGACATGAATGGAAATTAAATTAATTTATGAAATGTGTGATTACAAATATTAAAACAAGTTAACTTCAAATTAAAATGAACAATTTATTTGACTACTATACATTGTTTGACTGTATATGTCGAGAGCAGCAATTTTTCTTTTTTCCGAAGGAGAACGGGTGGTCTTTCGAAAAATGACAGAATTCAATGACAAAACATTTGCTTTTCATACCAATGTTTCAACATTATACACGTCGATAGCTCTACAATTTCGACGTGAACTACGTACTCGGTGATTTATCTCGCTTCAATGTACAGTTTTCGTATTCGATCGCCTCGCTGAAAGTCACTGTTAAAATAAATAATCACAATAACGCGTGTTGGCTTTAAAATTAATTGATTAAAAATAAAATTTATTTGATAAAGTAATCGATAAGCGCTTTTTAAATGACATTAACGACTGTTGGTTCGTAAGGATTCCTTTTGCCTTGTAAAAGTTCCATTTTTCTTCCTTCTTACGGTCGTTAAATAAGCGACGCCCTGGCGTCATTCTCGCGGATGACGCGTCTGTATAAAAAAAAAGCTCATGCCTCACGTTTGGAGGAATTTTTTCACTCGCAAACTTTTCGAGTCTCGTGATGTAATCATTTAGCCATTATGCGATTCGTCGCACGTGTACGCCAAAAGCGAAAGCCCAAAAGTGATGAGCGATTATTGCGACAACGCCTTACACTGTTTACAATTCTCCATTCGTACGTCGAATTCTTCTATTTGGAGCGTCATTTCAAAAAATCTGTACTCATCGTGAATGTTTCTCGTTGCTGTGCGTAGTATATCGTGTGGACTTGTACCCGGTTCTTTCATAAAAAAGAAAAGAAAGCGAACACATTAAACACAGCAATATTGCTCTTTGTACCAAAATTATTAATTGGTATACACGACGTAGTTATTTTTAATTTATATACTCAATTACTTTCGATCTGCGATAAAATGTGTGCGTGCGATCAACGATCAATATAAAATTTGATGAGCTTACTTATCGCGAGATGGGCCGATAACGCGGTTTTATCCAACGAGAGAGCCCAGATTCGAAGATTATGCACTTTCACGACACCATCGATTTGCATAAACGTACTCTCCACTTGGGAATAATCGAATCCTCTTGGCATTCCTTCCATCAGAACGTTCATCACGTCTTTGATTATAGCGACGGTGGTTAATATCACTAGTATTGAAAATAGGAAAGTGCAGATCGGGTCGACTATGCTCCAGCTCTTCTAAACATTTCAGACTCACGTTTGACCATAGTTTAGATTAAAAGACGAACCGACAGTACGTACCTCGAAATAAATGATCAGCGCCGCGATGAACACTCCTATGCTTTGGATAAAGTCTCCCACAACGTGGATAAAAGCGGCGCGCACGTTGATATTCTTCTTTTCGTGGGTGAGGCCTTCCACGCTTGACTTATGCGATCCGTGCCCGTGTCCATGGCTGTGCCCGTGGCCATGTTGGTGCAACGACAAACCCATTCTGCGGAATAAAAATGGATTATCGAATCGATTACTTTAAGGATACGCGATCGTCGCCAACTCAGGATGATTGACGATTGTTGAACAAGTTTTAGTTTAATGGTGCGTATCACTAACACTAGATTTACCGCAACGCCAACGGCAGACGAGATCAGCATCGCGACGGCATCCAGCTCGAAATCCTTGTGAATGATCCTTTCTACCGCCAGGTAGAACAGGATACCGGTGACAACCCATATCAGTAAAACTGACGTCAAGGCACCTATAACCTAAAACAATTTCATCGTGTTAGGATTCAGAAGGAATAGTGAGGAAAGTGAGCACGTAAAGGATACGTACCTCCGCCCTGTACCATCCAAAGGGCATCTTTCTCGTCGGTGGTCGACTCGCGACCCATATCGAGAACAACGAGATCATGAACGACGCGAAGTCGGTCAACAAATGAGCAGCGTCCGTCGCGATCGCTAAACTGTTGGACAATATTCCTCCTGAAAACAAGATACGATCATCATCCGCATGTACGACCTACCATTATACCGTCGCTCAAAACTTAAAGATGAATCGTATAAAGAATATATGCGGCTGCGCTTGTACGCGAACAAGTGACTCGACGTGCATCGAAGGACATTGACGCTGCCGCCTAGCGCGTAGCCTTCGCTACCGCGGCCGCTCCAACGGTCTACGCGCGCTCTGATTGGTCGGGGTTTTCTCTTAATATCTCCTTAACGAAGCCCCATCCGACATTTTTGCAAAGGAAATTGTTGTTCGGAATCGTCTCAGCTACCCCCCATTTCCGGCTCCTCCCCGACTTTTGGGACACCCTGTATATTACAATGAATGCATACACAATAATAATATTATAATTAGATATTTAAGTAGGAGTCGATCCCTAACTTTTGAGCGACAGTACATGTTTCACACGCACATCCGTGAGTGGCGTATTACCTACGATTTCCGCTATCATAAAAATAACGCATAACGCGCTGGCGAGTAGTAATTTCTTTTTTGCTTTTTTGTCGATCTCTTCGTCCCTTTCTCTGTGACAATGGTCTTCCGTTATGGCTGCAAAACATAAAACATTGTGAATAGGAAGTGCAGCTGGACGAGTCCCTTAAATGGACCGAATCTCTCGTTTTCCGAAGGATCCTGCGATCGAGTACTCACGAGAGGGATTCTTTTGATAATCGCCACCTTGATTTTCGTCGCTAGTCGAGCCCCTGACCACCGTGCAGCATCCTGAAAGCTTCCCGTGAACGCAGAAGATTACCTTCCTCGGCGACGATACCTCGTTATCCTCCACTTCATTGTTATTGGGCGGAATGCTCGTTCCGTACCCGTACACTGCTTTGTCCTCGAATCTACGGGCCAACGAAAAGCATTTACATTCGTTTCCCAACTATTTCATTTTAGGTTATTCGATCGCGTTCAAGAATTAAAGGATACTTTGGTAAGTTACGAGGAAAAGTATAAGCTACTGTGATTATTTCTATAA